GCTGCTGCCGTTGGCACGGCGCGCGGCGAGCCCCAACCTTCACCCTGCCGTCCCCCGCGACCGCCACATTAAAAGCGGCTTTATTGATTAGGGTGGGACGCATTCCGGAGCCGTTCTCATTTCTTACAATTTACTGGCGCGCCCGCAATTATTTTTGCAGTTTGTAGGCCGTGACGGCGACGTGACCACAACCGCCGTGTGTGTCACAGCCATCAGTAAACCACCTCCTCAAGCAACCACAATACAACACAAATCTGACACACACACACACATGGGGGCTCGTCCCGTCCGTCCCCGGCAGGACTTTCCCATGCACGCCAGCCAGGACTCAGCACCACCCCGTCAGCTGATGCCCTCATGCACGTCACCACCTGCACTGGGCGCCTCCTCCCCCGCCCAGACAGCCCTCTCAGATGTTTCACTTTCTTCTGCAGCAGCCGCAGCCTCCGCGAGGTAAAAGTGCGCAAGTAACGCCGTGTGACGGAGGCAAGCGTGTGTGACACGGCCGTCACGCGACGCGCCACGCACGCGCGCGCCGCGACGGCGGGGACCAGCAGTTACATCTGCCCGCCGCCGCTCGGGAGGTCGCTGACTGCGAGATGGAAAGTCCACGATTCAAAAAAAAAAAAAAAAAATGTATCATATTTTAATCGTGGTTTGGCCTTCATCCGGCGTGCAAACATAAAACGCTTGAGAAACCAGAACACGCTAAATGTATTGGTACATTTCTGTTCAAATGCTCGGGCTAACTTACAGCTTAAACTTTCGTAGGGCGATTTTGTGCTCAAGAATGCGTGATTTCATACAAAATTGTGCATAAAACAGTTCAAATCAGCGCAAAAATGTGTGCAAAAATGTGATTCACAGTCCGTTTGATTAAAAGATACAAATTCAGTTAGAGTGTAAGAGGTTTCAGAAAAAGTCATATTTTGATGACCTTTTTTCTGGGGGGGGGGGAGTGAGTACACAACCAATATTTGTACTTTGCTTTCAACTTCTTAAAAGAGGAATAAGAAAACAGCTTGAAGACAGCGAAAAGACAAGCAAAAAGCAGCAGAGGGCAGAGGCATTTTCATTTTTCGCCCTGCCGTTGCACTTCTGCGTGTGTACCCTACGTCCCGACGCATTGTCCACAAACAATATTTGGCCAGCCAGAGAAGCTTCCACGCCGATCGGTCGACCTGAAGGGCAACCAACCCCTCTTCTTCGTCCCTTGGCCCAGCCTGGCCGCGACGGGATGGCGGCGGGCAGGAGCGAGGACAGGGGAGTCAGGGCAGCAGAGCACACGCAGGTCCGAGCCGAACTGACCCCGTCGACCAGGCCCCCGGGGGTCAGCTCAGCGTTGCGCGCGATGGGCTAGGCGTCCCTGCGGAGGCGGAGCCCTGCGGCTGCCGTGTGACAATTAAGATTCGCCCGGTGGCCAGCGCGCCGCGGGGGGACCTCGGCTTTACCCCTTTTATTGCGGAGGGCCGGCCCGGGGTTGCCCTGCCACCGCCGCCGCCGCCGTCCCACGGAATCCGGTGCCGTATTTTATGTTTCCTTCAACGCTGGGCGACGTGACACCGAGCCGCGCGCCG